CCTAACTTACTTTCCAGCAAGTTTAATGTTTCTGTTTTAATATTTAGATCTTTAATCCATTTGGATTTTAATTTAGTGCATGGCGAAAGATAAGGGTCTAATTTTAATCTGTGACAGGTTGATATCCAGTTTTTCCAACACCATTTATTAAAGAGGCTATCTTTCCTCCACTGAGGATGGTGAGCTCCTTTGTCGAAGATGAGGTAGCTGAGTACATCTGCATTTGTTTTTGTGTCTTCCAGTCTGTTCCATTGATCCTCAGGCCTATTTCTTTGCCAGTACCATGCTGATTTTATCACAGTGTTTTTGTAGTATAGTTTCAAATTGGGAATTGTTACACCTGGTGCCATGTGACTGTTGCCTATAATGGCTTTTGCTATTCTAGGTCTCTTGTGGTTCCAAATGAATTTTTGGATTCTTTTTTCTAGTTCTGTGATATAGTGTTGGAATTTCAATTGGCATTGCATTGAATGTATATAGCAGTTTCGGTAGTATGGAATGGCACGATTTTTAATGGGACAGAGAGGGAGGGGAAAGGATTGTTTTTGTTTGTTTGTTGTTTGGAGGGTATTTTGACTACTGGGGATCAAACTTGGGACGTTGTGCCTGCAAGGCAGGCAGCAGAACCACTGAGCTCAATCTTGGGGCCTGGTTTTGTATGGGAAAATGAAACTGTGGTTGGGGCTGTGGCAGGAACACCATTTTGGGCCCATCAGACACCATTTTAGATTTAGTCAGACCTATTAATTAAAATTGGCAATAGCCACAGATGAATAGTCAGCAAGGAAACAAGCAAAGGTTTTGGCAGCAGCCATCAGAGGGGACCCTATGGGACCAAACCCCAGCAAGCCCAAAGGGCAGGTGCCTAGAAAGGTAGGAGACCCCAAACCATTGGGCCAAAATCAATGTGCCTTTTGCAAGGAGGAAGGTCACGGGAAACATGAATGTCCCCACAGGCTCTCTGCCCAGGTGCTATCTAGCCCTACATCCAGTGGAAAAGAAGATTCAGACTGAGGAGGCTAGGGCTCCTTCTCTCATGTTCCCCTGGAGCCCATGGTAAATGTTGAAGTAGGAGGCCAACAGGTCCATTTCCTGGTGGACACCGGAGCTGAGAGGTCAGTGTTAAAAACTCCCCTGGAAAAGCTTTCATCACAAAGTGTTCTCATGCAGTGACCACAGGAGCAGTTCAAAACTGCCTGCTCACAAGTGAGAAACTGGTGAGTCTGGGATCAAAACAGTTACTCACCTTTTTCTGGCAATACTGGACTGCCCCTTCCCCTTGCAAGGGTGAGACCTCTTTCATAAACTAAAGGCTACCACTCCCCTCATACCAACTGTCTTTGACAACTGCCCTGTCTGAAATGCATCTTCTCTCAGCAGAGGGAAACCCAGAGGAAATTAGCCCTGGAGGCTTATTGGATAGACTTATGGCAGAGTTCCCAAAAGTGTGGGCAGCATCTCACCCACCAGGCTTGTCTGCTCATCACACTCCAGTGAGAGTTGAACTCTTGTCGACCACCGTACCTGTGAATGTTTGACAATACCTCAACTCTCAGAAGGCCAGACAGGAGATATCCTCTCATGTTAAGAGGTGGATGGGCTTTGGGATATTAAATCCCTGCAAGTCTCCATGGAACATCCCATTCCTACTGGTAAAGAAACCAGGGATAGCAGATTACAGGCTGGTTTAGGACTTGAGAGAAGTTAACCAGCAAGTGGTAGCTCTGCATCCTACTCTCCCCAACCCATATACCCTCCTGAGTTTGCTTTCTCCTGAGCACCAACTGTATAATGTGCTAGATTTTGAAGGATGCCTTTTTCAGTGTGCCGATAACCCAACTAGCCAGCCTATCTTTGCTTTTGAGTGGTCTGATCCAGGTTCCAGCAACTGCGGCCAGCTGATGTGGACCCAGCTGCCTCAAGGATTCAAAAATGCACCCACCCTGTTCAGTGACGCCCTCCCATAGGGCTTGGTGAGTTTTCAATCCCACCACACTAACCTAACCCTGCTGCAACATGTGAATGATTTATTAGCTGCTACTAGCTATTCAGAACACCTGGAGGGACTTGAGAGTTTCTTCAGCTACTACAGGAGGTGTGCTACTGTGTCTCAGCAATAAAGGAACAACTCTGTGCCTCTAAAGTATCGTACCTGGGGAATGAAATCTTAGAAGGAAAAAGATCCTTACCCCAGGCCAGGAAAGGGCCATCCTCCGGATACCCATGCCAACTACCAAGAGCATGTATGTGAGTCCTAAGTGCGGCTGGATACTGTTGCCTAGGGACACCTTGGTTTTCTGAGATAGCAAGACCCCTCTATTCTCGCACAGAAGGAAATCAACCCCTAGAATGGGGAATAGATGGAGAAGTCTTCCAGAATCTGAAAAGAGCTTTGGTATCAGTTCCGGCTCTGGCACTACCTGGTATTACTGAGCCTTCCATCTATTCATCCATAAGGTAAGAGGGATTGCTAAGGGAGTCCTAATGCAGTCCTTGGGACCCAGGAAGCACCCTATGGCCTATCTCTCTAAAAGATTAGCCCTGTGGCCTCAGGATGGTCTTCATGTCTTCAGGTGGTAGCTTGCCACAGCTTTATTGGTTAAGGAGACTGGCAAGTAGACCCTCAGACAGGACCTAGTCCTAACTGCCCCTCACTCAGTACTGACTATACTAAAAGGGGCCACTAACAAATGGATATCAAATGCTTACCTCACTCAGTATCAAACCCTCTTGATTGTCCAGCCTTGTAGAGTCTTCTCAGCAGGACAGGTTCTCCATCCAGCTATGCTGATGCCACATGATGACCCTGACATTTCAATTCATGACTTTGAGGAGGTACTGGACCAGATCCGGGGAGGGGGGGCAAGTGGACTTGACAGACATCTGCTTGGCTGAGGCACATGCCACCCTCTTCACAGATGGAAGCAACAGGATAATAAGCAGGGTACGAAGGGTGGGAGCTGTAGTGACTACAGTTGATCAAGTCATCCCAAGGGAACCTCAGTCCAAAAGGCAGAACTGACCACCTTGGTCCAAGCCTTGCAATGGGGAAAGGGAAAAAGAGATAAATGTAAATACTGACAGCAGGTATGCCTTTGCTACTCTACATATCTACATGAACATCTACAAGTATAGAGAGCTTGTGACAGCTGCAGGAAAGACTGTCAAAAACAAAGAAGAGTTATTGTCTCTCCTAGAGATGGTATGGTTTCCCAAGAAGGTGGCCAGGATTCATGTCAGGGTCACCAAAACGACCATACACCTGAGGCTAAGGGAAATCAACTTGCAGAACAAGTAGCCAGAGAGGCAGACCTGAGGCCAGCTGAACCCTTACTCATCCTGCCTACCATGTGTCCTCCCCCTTTGCTCCCAACTAGTCCCACTTACAATGAAGATAGAGAAGCAAGCCAGCTGCAAGCAAAGAAAGATCCCCAAGGGTGGTGGAAATGTCCAGATGGTAGCACCTACCTCCCCCAGGCAATAGGATGACAGCTCATCCAGCAACTGCATGTGGTTAAACACCCCAGGGCTCCAGGATGGCTGAGCTTCTAGCTCCAAGATACTGTTTTTCAAAGCTGCAAGAGCTGGCCTGCCAGGCCTCTCTTAGGAACCCAACCTGTGTATGAGTAAATCCCCACCAATGCCCACCTGCACCTCTTGGTGTCAGATTCTGGAGTAGAAATCCTGGAGAATACTCGGAAGTGGATTTCACAGAAGTCAAAGCACCAGTGGGTGGCTATTGCTACCTCCTGATTTTTATAGATATCTTCTCCGGATGGATAGAGGTCTATGCTACTCAGCAGGAGACTGCCAATGTGGTACAAAAGAAACTTCTTCAGGAATTAATTGACCAGATTTTTACTACCAATGTCCATTGATTCTAACAATGGCCCCACCTTTATAGCCTTTATAACTCAGTCTGTCACTAGGACACTGGGTATAAATTGGAAACTCCACTGTGGCTACTGACCACAAAGCTTGGGGCAAGTGGAATAGATTAATCAGACCCTGAAATCTACTCTGACTAAATTGATGTTGAAAATTGGTGAAGAATGGGTTAGCCTGCTGCCTCTGCCTATTCTTAGAGTTAGAAGCACACCTCATAAAGCAGGTTTTACTCCTTATGAAATTATGTTTGGGAGCCCCCCCACTTTTCCTTAAGGTTAAAAGTGAAGTACTAGAAGAATTTTCTAACCAGTCCCTGTTAAATATCTTTGGTCTCTCCAACAGGTTTAGAAAACTGTTCACTTCCAAGTGCAAGCTACTCAACCCCTGCCCAGCTCTGCACTGTGCCACCCATTCCAGCATGGGGATACTGTCTTCCTCAAGGCCTTTTGGAGTGAAGGACTGACTCGAGCCTGGAAGGGACCATACAAAGTCATCCTCACAATGCCTTCAGATCTCAAGGTTGACAGGATCTCAAACTGAGTTCACCATCGATGCATCAAGTGGGTGAAACAGGGGACTGCTGAGCTGGGACCTGATCCTTTGAAGCTAAGACTAGTGTGATCATGATTGTGACCCTTGTCTTTATTGTCTTTGGGCTGATGAGGCTGAACTCTGGGGAAGTACAATGAAAAGAGTTGCACTCCTTTCTCCTCACCTCCTTTAGCTCAGGAGGAATTCTAGGTGCCATCACTTTTGGTACCATCTACTCCCAACAACATCTAAGGTTGCCCAAGGTCGATCTCTGCCAATGAGTTAGAAAGTACTGGGAAGTGACTTCTATCAGTTCCTAAACCTGGGAAGCCATGACTTTTATGTGTGTCTAGCATCCAATCCTTTTAGACAGCTGGGCTGTCGTTCCTCAACTGATTTCTACTTCCCTAACTGAGGCTGTGTAAAGATTGCCTCTTATAGTGGGGACCAAATGTCACTCATGTTATCATAACCTGTTCAGTTGGAGGCCTTGGGTAACTACACTTATCACTACACTGGCTTGTTCCCTCATCCTGCTTTTTCTCAAGCTCTTGATTGGTGCTAGTATTCTTAATTGGATAATCAACTTTGCAAGATAGCATGTAGCCTCTGTTAAACTGATGTATATGAGATCCTACTACAATCCTTTGTATAACTCCCTGCCTAATCAAGAGGCTCTCATTGAGTCAACACTTTGCCAACATGCTTAGAGGAGTTGGAAATGTAATAGCGAGCCTGACTCCATCTTGTGCCTCAAATATCAGTTTGTACCTGCCTTAGAACAAAGTGATTGCACTTGAACAAAGCACCCAAAACCCACACATCCTGCTTGGCAGTAATCTTGCTACATTTGCTGGATGTTCTCCTAGTGAACTTTCTTGTGCCCACTAACCTGGCATATTTCTGCTTCTGTAAGATTCCTCTTGCTCTCCCCAGATGCCTCCCCAACCAAAAATATGATTTAAAAGGAGAAATCAAACTGCTTCTCATTGCTGAGGAAACTTCTGGGCATTAGCCACCCTCATCCACCAGTATAATAAAGGACTTGAATCTGGCAAGGAGAGTGGCGCATCTCTATTGTTCAAACTCACTCATCCGTAACACTCCGAACCTGCTCTGGTGTCTAGAGCCTCTTTCCTAGCTTCCGACCCTGCAGTCCGCCTGGACTGGCAATGAGTCACTTTCTGTCCTTCCATCCTTTGCTGGGGCAAGAGTACTTCTAGAGCCTCAGAAGCTTATCTTCATTGTGACACTGCTACCCCACAGTGCCATCTTAGGAAACACCCTGCTGTCCTCAGTCTACCACCAATTTGGGGAGAGAAAGGGCTTCAGGGGACCCTGACTCAGATGTGGGTTGCAGCTGGGTTCTAGCTGAGGTGAGTTAGGTCTCTGGTCTCATTCCTGCCAGCAGCACATCTGAAAGATCTGAAGTTTGTAAATATCTGTGATGTAGCATCTCGTAACCACAGCTCCTCTCCTCAGATTTCTGTTTTTTTATATTTATCACAGTCTTTAAATTTCCAGTGTGTCCTGACATTTCCAAACTCACAGTAGGTGTAGACAAAGGTCCTGAGATTTTATAGAAATGTTTTGATGTTCATCAGTTGGGAAGCACTTGCCAAACACCTAGTGAACTCCTAGATTCCATGCAGGGCTATGCAAAGAAATTTATAATCTTATTTAATTATTTATGTGAACCCCTACTCACAATTAGACTGTTGAAGTGAGGAGTGCCCTAGATTTTAGAATTCTGATAAAACTGGGGGTGATATTACAGTGTTAGCAAGGTCAGGGGAAAATGTACGATAAGGGTATGAGTGGAAAGGGACAGGGGTGTCACCTCTGAGTTCATGGCTATAGAGCTTGGCCTGATCATAGTCATTGCTTAAATACTGAAATGCTGCTTCAGCCTGACTTTAGAGGGAACACTAGAGTAGAGGAAAACTAGAAATTGTGGAATCATACCAACGGTTAGGCATAATGTGATTTCTGCTTAGGGTGGATCAAAGGGGAGAGCATAAGAGGTGGAAGAGAATGGCATGACGATGGGTGCCAATAGCAGCATCCACAACATAGAAGATCTGCTCTGAAAGAATATTCCCATGTTTATCACAGAGGAATAATTGTGTGCTTGCTTGCTCTGTGCATTGGCAAGAAGTCTCAGGTTGAAGAAAGGAGTGGAACTTTATAGTGATAAATTTGTCTTATGTTATCACTGATCATTTCATGTGAAATTTTTGTGGGGCAAAAATGGAAATTAGAACACTGTCTGGCTTTGGTGTACCTTTAAAAATAGCATGGGCTCCATCCCTGAAGTAGAAGGAAATTGGTTTCCCTAGGATACAAAACATTTCAAGGTGCGCTTGATGTCTTTATTGTATAGGAACCAAACTCTGTAATTTTTCCCCAACTATGTACCCCAACATTTTTAATATTTAAAAAACTTTTAGAGTTGAGGTCATAATATGTTTCCCAGAGTGGTATGATTTTTTGATAGTGTTTGTACCTCAGTGACTATTGGGATATGTGCATGTGCCTCTATGCTAATTTAGGGTTCTTTATTTATCATGATTTAGCAAGACTTCAGTGCTTGGGTTTAGTAAAAATCAGCAAAGCATGGTGGTTTACATCTTTACTCACTTACTTGGGAGACTACACAACCCCAAGTATTACAACTCCAAGCTCAGCTGAAATAATGGAGGCAGACCCTCTTTCAGTATGAAAGAAAAATTCAGGGATTAATCTGGCCAGGCTTGATTGCATACAACTATAATCCCAACATTCAGGAGGCACAGAGAGGAGGACCTCAGCCAGTACAAGGATGGCCGGGGCTACATAGTGAATGCAGGTCCAGCCTAAACTCCTAAGGGAGAACCTGTCTTAACAACAACCAAAAAAATTCTAGAATTTATCTCCACTGAGTGGTAACTTGTTTAACATGCCGTATGCTCCATGATATTGAAGAATAAAAGAAAAAAATTATTCAGTGGAAATCTTCTTGTTAGTTTTTTATTTTATTCTTTTTGCATACTAGTGATGCATGGCACAGTATTGCTCAGCATTGTGGACAGCAGTAATGCATCACTACTCCGTCAGCATCAGGACACCACTGTGAACAAGTAGTGATGTACAGTGCACTGCATGCGATTATTGGCATGAGATATTTAGAATTATTATGAATTTTGTATTGTGTTACACACACGGTTCAAGCCAGCATGTCAAGCAGGTAGGTGTAAAGGATCCAAGGCTTAGCAGTAATTTTTACTAGATCAGACATATTCTATACATTTCAACACATTTTCACTTCAATTTCCATTGGTTTGATCATTATATTTTTTTCTTTGTAATTTAAGTAGTGTGTCTTTTTCAACTCTTCAAAAAATCCTGTGTGGAACATGATACTCATCAGATTATTTTTCATATAAATATATTTTTTTCCAGTACTAGGGATGAACTCAGGACCTTGCCCTTCTGAGGCCAGTGCTTCACCACTGAGCTAAATCCCAGCCCTCAGATTATGTCCCTTTTCTAGTTAATCAGGTTCCCCAGAGCAGCTGAATCAAGAAAACAATGAGCAGTATTTTAAAAAGGGAAAAATACTTTGGATTTTGAATCATTTTTTCTTTGTTTGCTTTGATTTAGTTTGGTTGTTGTTTTTGTTTATATTATTATTATTATTATTATTATATCATCATCATTATCATTATACTTATTATTAAAGATGCCCCACTCTGATCATACTTTGGCTTGCATCACAATGACAAATCAATAGGATGGAGATTTTCAGATACAGGCCTGAACACTTTGAAAATAAAACAGTAAGCATTTGCATGGCTGAAGAGAAAACATTTCCATTCCTAGTTTTAATTTGTACTGATTTTGGAAACCCTTCTAAGTGCTTTAACCTTGGATAAACTTCTGCCTTTCTGTGCCACTTGCACACTCATGTGATCCCATTTCTGTTTCTATGACATTGTTGAGCTGAAAGTATTTCTGTCCAGAATTTATACTTCCAAGGCTCTATTCTTTTTGCAGTGATTTATATCTATGTCTGGGAAAAGAGAGAGATATTTGTTATTTGGTCCATAAGTTACAATTGACTGCAATTGCTGCATCTCTCTAAGTACTCTAGGCTTCCCGACACCCTGAGGACAGACCTTTCATGTTGGTATCCTGGAGACACCCATGGCACAATGGCCTGTGACACAGCTGAGATAAAGCACAGAGCTTCGTTTCAAAGCACCCTTTGGTCTGGCTATATCTCCCTGTGGGTGTCATCATACAGCATGGAATGGTGGAGCCTATTCTGGCTTTTCACACTGCTGACAACTGAAATGTGGGTGCAGGTGGTGAGCACAAGGAGAGAATATGCAAGACAGACAGAGTACTTTGTGGAGAGTCACTGAGCCTGGATTTGGGGTGCAGAGCTAGAGATCTGACTAGTCATGGGGTCTTTGCCCATCTCGTACCTTTTCATTCAGGACCTTAAGTGTCTGCTAAACTGGCTGAGTGAGTGATTTTCAGGCAATGGTGATTCTGCACAGAAGAAAATGTGTCTCAAATTTTTTGTAGTAATTATAACACAGAGTAGAAAAATATTTAGTAGCATGTTGGGCAAGGAGGTCAAGGTTGTTGAGCAATGTCACATAACAAATGAGATGATTATTAGAAGGAAACCTTGGCCTCAAATATCACTAGTGCTGTGCTTGACAAATCTGTTTCAGGTATGCTAGAGTATACCCCTTGGCTTCATGTACTTTTGAGGTCTCCTTCTGAAGGAGGGGACTTGGGGAGATAACTGCGGACACAATGAATGACCAAAAGCTGATGGTTAATCGAAAAGTTTACTTCTGACACAGGGTGTTATATACTAGTTTCAA